AAAAGTAGAAAGAGGTTTTTTTATTACTGGTGGTAGTAATAATTGAAATACTTTATTTTTCATTGAATATTTAATTTTTTTAAAAATTTTTATCAATTATGTTTTCTTTTAATTTGCAAAATAGTAAAAATTATTTTTATTCTTTTTACTAATTTTTATTAGTTATGTTTGCTTTTAATTCGCAAAATAGTAAAAATTATTTTTATTTTTATTTTTTACGAATGAATTCGTATTAGCTAATCTTTTTTATTTTGTTTATAGATTGGGAAGGCCTGACGAAAATTGACACGTGCCCTGATTGGTCTGAAGTTTATGACGTCTAGACTGACAAACTGGTAAGTAATATTTATATTTTCAAAGCTTTTCAAGAAAAGATTGTCTCTGAAAACGTTTTCTATATTTATCTTCTCTATTCCGTGCGAAACGACCATTTTTCGCTTATTTCAACTCTGAGAAAAAAAATTTTACTAAATTTTTGAACTCTCAATTGAGCGAAATATTTTTCTCTATTTTCTTTCTGCTTAAAGAAATATGGAAATATTTCTAAGAATTACTAGACTAAAATTAAAAATATTGAAATTATTAAATTAAATTAAAATTAAAAATCAAAAAAGTTAAAAATTAATTTTCTAATTATACAAAACAGTATTTTTTAAGTAAATTTAAATAAAAAGAAGCAATAAATTAACGTCATTTACTTAAACATTCGAAACGTAGGGACAAAAAAAGAATTTTATTTTGAATATAAAAGAATGGATAAGGATTTAATATTTATCGTGAAATATTAATAACATTACTGATGATATTAATCGATATAATTTTTATTGTAAATGTTTCTGAACCGGAAAAATACTTAATAGTCTTTATACTAAACTTTTATGTTCCATAATTTTAAGAAAGTTAAACTTGTGTCCCTTTTTATTATCGAAAAGCTCTTTAACTCGAATTTTAAAGCATTTTCCTTGAACTTCAGTTTAGTAGCGTTCTATTTAGAAAATTGAGTACAAAATTTTTTTCTAGTCTGTTGAACAATCGTCGCGAGTGGGGTTATTTTTTGGCAAAATGCCACGTAAATTTTATTCGTTTCGTATTTCGTTATAAAATTCTATTTACGCAATAATCATATATGGAGTTTCAAAACGTCAGATGAGAATTTTCATAAATTCACAAATAGATTATATTCATCGGTAATTAATTTTTTAGGTATATTTTCAAAAATTAATATTGTTCAGAATTCTGGAAAGACAAATATAATAATCTACAATGATGAATAATTTCCGAAAACAATATTAAAAAAAAAATTCTTTCTAATGAAATTTAATGAAAAATTTCGCAAATCTTGTCAAATTTTCGATTATAATTAAATTATATTGTGTTATCTAATTCTTTTCAATTTTCAAAGTAAGAGTACCGAATAGAGTAATTTAATCGAGGTGAAGTTCACAACATTTATAATTAACGAATTTGAAAAGAAAATATTTGTTCACTCAAATTTTTATACATTTATGTTTAAAAAATTATTTATACACTTTTTTGATGAATAATTTAAAAGAGAAAAATTTGTAAACAAAAAATACTGTTGTTTTTTGAGTAAAAAATAATGATCCTAAAGTTATGAACTTTGAAATGAACGAAATTTATTTATTTCTTCTTTAAATTACATTTTTTTACAATAATTTTGTGTCACTCGAAGAAAATTAATTTTTAAAGTTTCTAAATGTAGAATATAAATTTTTTATTTTTTTACCATTAATGATTTATGAAAATATTTTTAATAAGAAACATTTTGTTCATTTGAACGTTCAAAACTTTTGTGAATCAAAAAAAAATTTTTTCTTTTCCCAACTATATAATAATTTTTAATTAATAATTAAAATATAATAATATTAATAATTTTAATTTTAATTAATAATTAAAATATAATATTAATAATTTTAATTTTAATTATTAATTTATCGTTTAAAATATAAAATATAACAATAATATAATTATTATTGATTCAATTAATAAAATATATAAAAGTTGGCAAAAAATAGCGTTGTGAACTTCACTGATGTGTTTGGCGAAGTTCACAACGTTTATAATTAACAATTTAACAAAAAAAAATATTTTTTTCCTCAATACTTTTTTACTAATTTTGTCTAAAAAATTTTTTTCACAGTATTTCTTGATTGAAATCTTTGAAAAAAATATGTAAACAAAAAATATTACTTCGATTAAGAGAAGTTAACGATTAAAATATTTAGTAAATTTAAAATATTACTGTTTTTTTGAGTAAAAAATAAACTATTTTGTTACAATCGCAGAATAAAATACGATTTTAGAGAAACTATTTTAGAAACTATTTTTTTTCGCAATATTTTTCTATTATTTTTTACTCTAAATAATTTTTACAATATTGATCGATAATTTTAAGAAGAAAAATAAACAAACAATGTTTTTTCTGAGTAAAAAAAAATTTTTTTTTTTCGAATTGTTTATGAAAAAACGTTGTGAACTTCAGTCAAGTTTTAATCGAATTGTTAGTAAGAGATTTTTGAAGAGAGAATTATTTCAAGTAGTAAGAGTAAACCTCTAAGTAGAACAGGTCAATTGTCAGCAGTTGGGAAAGTCGTATATAACTACTTAAAAACGTGGAATTTTATTTCTATCTTTTCTATTTCGTTTCAGTCAATTTTATAGTTTTTTGTAGTATTTTACAGTATTTTTATAGTATTTTATAGTATTTTTTTTAGTATTTTACAGTAATTTTCTAGTAAAAATTTTAATTACAAAAAAAGACAAATTCAAGTATATATAGTACAAAAAGGTCAACCTGTAAATGGTACTCAGGTCAATCGGCCACGAAATATATATTAACTACGAAAAACACAAAAATGTGCGAAAAAATATTAACTGAAATTAGAGAATTGAGAAAACTTGGAATTTCAACGATTCTGCGATAGTTGTGGTTTTTGAATTAAAATAAAACGCGAATCTTCAATTGGAGTCGGAAAAAGAGTGAGCCAATCGAAGTAGATGGTGGAGCGTAACTGGCTCGCCACTCTTCAAGAGGGACTATTCTTGGCCGCCGTATAAATAAGAAGCATTACATAATCGGCAAACAAATCGATGCCAATTATTATAAACAAACTCCTGCCTCATTGGGGCAAACACTCGTCTTTCATTTCCCAAAGCGGGGCATGCAGTCAATTTCCGACCAAGTTTTCTTATTTTTACAATTCTCAGTTTTTTTTTTTTTTTTTTTTTGAAAAGTTTCTTTTAAAAATGGAAATTCTTACTTTTAAGGAATTTATTTGTATTTTTTATTCAAATCACTGATTAGTTGGAAATTATTATTAAAATTATTGAACAAATTAAAATGTTAAAGAAATATTTATACTTGAATCGAGTAATTGTTTAGTAAATTTCTATTTTTTTTGTTCTTTTTAATTTGTTGAAATCGGGGAAATTTTATTTAAACCAATAGATTTAGTATTTGAAGCAAATATCGTTTAATCGACTTCAATTGTTAAGTAATTCTTCTTAATTTGTTTAAATTAAATAAATTTTTTTCAAACTAATATTTTTAGCATTTGAAGCATTAATTAATTGACTTAAATTGTTAAGTACTTTTTCTTCATTTGTTGAAATCAAATAAATGTTTTTTAACCAATAGTTTTAGTATTTTAAGGAAATACTATTTAATTGACATAAATTGTTAAATAATTTTTTTTTTATTTATTGAAATCCAATTTTCTTTAGTTTTAGTATTTAAAGCAAATGCCATTTAATTGACTTGAATACATTAAAAAGAATTACTTAGCAATTATATTTGTTTCAAGTAAATATTTATTTTATAATAGTCAAGTAATCGGTTATTTAAATGAAGTAAATTTGTTCCCAGTGTATTTTTATTTTAGTATTCTTTAGTATTCTTCGGTATTGTTTAGTATTCTCATTTAGTATTCTTTAGTATTCTTCAGTATTCTTATTTAAACCCAGACAATTCATTTAATTATTAATGATAAGAATGTAATTTTCTGACTACCGCTTATAAATTATAAATAAAATTAAAACAATTATAAATAAAACTTTGAGGTTAACGATCACTCCGAGTCTTTGACTCGTAGTGATCGTGAACCTCAAAGTTTTATTTATTAATAATTAGGATTATAGGAATTGTTATTAGAGGTAAAATTTCAAAAAAAGATTAATGTTAATGATATTTTTTTCAAAAAAGGTTAATTTTTTAATTAGTAGGTACAAGCAATTGTGTTACATGGTAAATTAGTCGTTGATGTTCCACGCATAATTACAGAATTCTTTCAATTAGTCTCATTTCGATTCAAAATTTTTTCTATCTCCAAATGCAAATTTGAATTATGTCAATAATCCAAATCCATATAAAAATCTACAAATAGAATCCAAATCGTAATATGTGATGATAATGACAATGATTATGTCAATAATCCAAATCCATATAAAAATCTACAAATAGAATCCAAATCGTAATATATAATAATGATGACAATGATTATGTAAATAATCCAAATCCATATAAAAATACAGAAATAAAATCCAAATCGTAATATATCATAATATAAAATATGTAATAAAATTGTAATGTCAGCCGAAAATTTGTTCAGAAAGGACTCCGTAATTAATGCGTGAATGTTACTTTGGTAACAGGTGATAGTTTCCTACTGACATTCGTCGAGATAATAATATCGAAAAATTGTCGATCCGGAGAAAAATGATTTACACACTTTGTCACACACTTGATCGATTTTCGAGTTTCCTATGATGGAAAATTAAATTCAACACTCGCGGTTTAATTTTCTCACGTTTTAATAGATATCGAAGCACAATGATTTCTTTTCACGTCGCGAAATTTCGTTAGAAATTCTTAATTTTTTTCGGATTCGAAGAATTTTTTTCGAGTTTTTGAATTATTTTTTTTTTAATTTTTATTTTGAAAACTCGATGATCGATCTGAGAATGGATCATTGATCCTTTACCTAGTTTCGGATGACCGTTCGGTTCGAGGGTTGGAGCTTAGACTGGGCTACTGCCGCCAAAATTGCCAACTAGTATAGCTGATTAGAGATACAAGTGGCGCCGCGATGAGATGAAATTTGGTAACGGTCGCGAGACATTTATGGCAACCCCCACCTCATTATGATGAGCGGAATAATCTGTGAAAAAAAAAGAATTCGAATTTCGAGCTAGGTGTCTTCCCACGTATTTTCTCTTGCGCGTTTTCACGCGAGAGCTTCCGACGATGCGTCAATGACTCGAGAGAGAAGACGAAGGTCGCGGTGTGTCGCAGATCCGATCGCATCGTCGTCACGGAATCACTCTCCACGTGTTGTACTTTGTGCACAACAGAAAAGTCATTCTTTTATTTTCGGCTCTAATGTTATTTGTTCAAATAAATTTAATATTATGAGAATATAACTCTGCGAAAGCTTGAAATGAAGAATTTTTTCGAAAATTTATTTTCATCCTTCGTGTCATAGTGTGTAACGTGATACAGCTTTTGTTTTTTCGTTCCCCTGCATATTTGATTTTTATTCCTTCGTTTATAGAACTGACCTTCAGAAGCTTTTTTTTATTCTGATATTATCGAATTAAGATTTTAAATTTTGGATTTCAGCCAAAAATACGTTTATTAGTTTTACGAGAGGGAAAATTTTTAAAGTAAACAATTAAGGCTCCGGATCTTAAAAGGGCACTTTCAGCATTGATATTAAATGGTAAAAGTGACCTTTTACGATTTTTAAAATGATGCGGTTTTTGTTTTCGTTAATTGGAATATTACTGTAAAATTTAAATCTGATATTTTCGTCAGCACTTTTGATTAAAATCGTTTACTAGAAGAAAGTTTAGTATCATTTTTGACTGAATTTCAACATTTGAGAGTATTATTTTAAGTTCTAAAATTAACAAAATCTAATTTTAAGCTTTAAAATAGTCACTTTGGTCATAAGATCTTCAATGATTTAAGAAAAATTTTTCTAAAAAGCTTTGCAAACATTCAATTATTTTCATAAATATTAAATTTTCCAGAGAAATTCAATTATTTAAAACATAATTTTCATAAAAATTTTTCCAAAAGTATAAAGTAATTAAAAAGGTTTTTATAAAATTCTTCGCAGGAATTCAATTCTAAAAAACTTTTTTATAATGAAGGTGATTTTCTAATTTTCTAAAAAATTTTTCCTAAAGATATTTAAAATTTTCTAAAAAATGTTTTATAAACAAATTAATTTTAGAAATTTTGATATAAAAATGATGCAAATTATTATTTCTTTTTTTTAAAAGAAGAACAGAATTTTGTTAAAAAATTGTGATTAGAAATAGTATTTTCGCAAAATTTCTTCTTGTTTTTTAAAAAGAAACTCATAATTTTATGAACAGAATTGTGATTGAGAAATAGAAAATATGCAAAATAGTTTCTATTTTCTAATCTTAATTTTTTAACAATTTTCTAACTTTTATTAAAATTACAGAATTTTACAAATTTCAGGAAAATAAATATAAGAAATCATAACTTTTTAGAAAAAATTTTTTTTAGAAATCAAAACTTGTTAGAAAAACTTTTTTTAGAAAACAGATTTCATTAGAAATCGCTTTTTTTTAGACAAAAAGGATTAGAAAATATTTTTTAGAACAAGTGAGCACCTACCGATATCAATTATTTTAAATATGTTCTATTTTAATATAAATCCATTAAAAGAATCCAATTACTTTAAAAATGTTTAATTTAAAAGAATCTCTAAGAAAATTCAATTGCTTTCAAAAGTTTTAATTAAATTCTTCGCAGGAATTCAATTATTTTTACAAATACAATAAAATTTTTCACACGAATCCAATTATTCTAAAAATTCCTTATAAAATACAATTTTAAATAAATTCCTCGAAAAATGGAATTATTCTTGAAAATTGAATGAAAATTCTTCAAAAAAATTAAATTATTTTTCAAAGTTTTGAAATAATTCTTGATAAGAATTCAATTTTAAGAAATAATTATTTATTTTTGTATTTAATTCAATAATTGAATTCTCGTAGAACTTTCTAATTAGAATTGATTTGAAAATGAATTTCAGTTCATTTTTTAATTTTTTTAATAAATTCCTCGAAAAATGGAATTATTCTTAAAAAATTTAATCAAAATTCTTCAAAAGAATTAAAATATTTTCAAAAATTTTGATACAATTTATAAGAATTCAATTTTAAGAAGTAATCAATTATTTATTTTTGTATTTAAATAATTGAATTCTCGTAGAAATTTTTAATAAAAATTGATTGAAAATTGAATTTCTGTTAAAATTTTAGATAATAATTAAATATTGGCATTACAGTATAAATTTCAGAAATAATTAAAATTCAAAAAAATTTTAAATTGAAATCTTTGGAAATTTTAATTGTTGTAAAACTAATAATATTAAAATTTTTATTTTAAAATGAAATGAATTAAATTTTTTGTGATTTAAATTTTTTTTAGATAACTCGTTAATGAAAGATTGTACAGATAGTTAAACTAAAAGATATAGGCCAAATTGAAATTTTTGTATTTTTGAATTAAAAAACTTTTCCTCAGGGAATATGAGAGCAATTTTAGTTTTGACACTTTGGAACATTAAAAGATGACATTGGATAAAGAATAAAAATTCTTGAGATTGAGAAACGATTACAGCAACGTGATTTATAGAAACTTTTTTTAATCTCAATGAAATTTTCAATTTGATACTTTAAAGAAAATCGTGTGAAACATATGAAAATTTCAAGTTGATTTAGCTTTTTTTAATTGTCTATTTAATTTCTTCACTTAGAGAAAAATTTATTTGAAAAACGATAAAATTTTATTGGATACTAATTAATTGAAAATATTATAACCCATGCAGAAATTGAGATTGGAATTTTATGGGGTCCTAGCCAGAATTCCCTATCTGTAGTGGGGAACTGATTAGAGAAAATCGTTAGAACCCAACTACTTTCATAACGGTCGGCAGATGGGGTATAGACTAGAATATCTAGTCGGGAACTAGTATTAAAACTAGCTGTGTGTTGATAGGGCCCCGACTAGAATTTTCTAGTTGACTTTTAAAAATTATTATTTTTCAACTTAACCTATTTATAATTAAATTCTTCATTCATATTAACATTATTAATGAATGTTGTACACGAAAAACCTGAAACTTGAGTTGAAAAATCTCGTGCCCATGGGGGATCGAACCTTGGACCTTGGGGACTCCAGTCGGATACACATACCTCCCGGCCGTGATAGCTTGGAAGCACCTCCGCTTAAATAACATCCCGTGCAGCAATTCACCATTTGCCCCTATCTCTAGTAGGGCTCTCGCTAGATTCTAACTAGAATCTCTAGTCTAGAAAAACTAGTCGGGTTCCAATCAAATTCTAGTTAAATAATTTTTACCAGCATTATTTTTTAAAAAATTTTGCATACTATTTAATTATTTCATTTTTTAACATATTTGAAACCCAATTTTTAATATTGTAGAACATTCTTACATAAAATTCCAATAAAACAATTTTATTAAATAAAAATCTTTTATTTAATAAGTAAATTAAAAGAATAAGACACAAATAAATATTAATTATGTGAGTATAATTAATTTTTATTACCTAAATATTGTAATATTATCCGTAAAAATAATTATTTAAAAATATATGTAAGTGCAATTATACTTTAAAATGTTTTTGACAATTCATAAAAATATTTATTTATAGAAAGACAATTTATGTATATTACTTGTACACTAGTTTGTCGCTAGTTGGAAATCAATAAGGTCCTAGTGAGTTTTTCTAGTCTGAATTATCTAATAATTTCAATTAATAATAATTCTTTATAATCTAATAATAATTTAAATTAAAAAATTATAAAGTTATTAAATTATTTAAATTATTAAAATAATAAATAATAATATCAATTAATAATAATTCTTTATAAAACAAAATTAGTAATAATAATTCTTTAACTAGAATTTGATTGGAAACCGATTAGTTTTTGTAGACTAGAGATTCTAGTCAGAATCTAGCGAGGTTCTAGACAGATTTTTCTAGAGTAGATTTTCTAGGATGGTTCTAATCAGAATCCAACATTTGGTAGGGACAAGTAGGGAAATTTCTACATGGGAATATTAATATTGATTGAAAATGTGTTTTCGTAGTTATTTATTTATTAATAATTAGAATTTGTCAACTGAAATGAAACAAAAAATAATTTCATATTTCCGTAATTTTGAAATTGAATTTCGTAGACATGCAGTAATGCGGAACTGCATATGATATAATATTTTTTATGAGATTAATACAGATATAAATATTAGATGAGTATATATTGTTTTGTAAACTATTACATTTTAAACTTTAGCAATAGAAATTTCAAGAAATCAAGAATTACAGCATTTGAGATTTTCTTTGCCAGCTGGCAACAGGAAGTTCAGATTTTCTTTCAACAAATATATAATATTAAACTATTTTAATAAATAATAAACACGAAAATTTGGAAAGAAAATACTTGTATATCCGCTATATAGATACAATTCTAAATTGAAACATTTCAAACACGCGTCGAAAATTTTTAAACAATTTCAACATTTTGTATATGCTAAAAGTGCTACTATTTTAACATGATGACTGTCATTTATCATTTTTTTGGATTGTATATATTTGCGGATTGAGTTTCATAATTTTTATTTATATTCAAATGAGAAGTAAACATTCTCTTTAAATGGGAATTGGTAAAAATTTTACTTGATTTAAGTCTGTGACTCAGACTATCTTTTTGCTCTTGTAATCAAATGACCGGTGGCAGGGTTGCCAGGGGTCAGGGAAATCAGGAAATTTTCACACGTTTTCTTGAAAGTATCAAATTTATTTTATACGAAAGAGGATTAGTGCCAAAAATTTGGATCAATTTTTGATTTGATCCACATTTTTGGTATATCAATTCGTTGCAAATTGATACTTTTATGTTATAACAGTGTTTTCAAAAGTGCAAGAAAAATATCGAATTTTTAAATACTACAAAAATTATGGATTTTTATACCAAAAACATTTTTAAAAAAGTTACTCACTAAATTTGAATTAGTAAAAATGTTTACTAATTTAAATTAGTGACTGACTTTTTGCTTTTAAATTAGTA